GTCAGTTTAGTCTAAAAACTTTAGGTAGGTGTGTTGAGTAAAGTTTTTTTTTTATCAGTAATGAAATTTTTAAAACTTATTTATTTCTTAGTTGGAAAGCCAGATAAATTACAGTACTTTCTGGATATTCTATTCTTTCTAATGAATGATATATCTTTGTGCTTTAAAATGCATATTTGAAATTTACATGAATTTTTTGAGCAACCAACATTGTGGAGAATAAAAAGAAAATGGATTACAAAAGCATAGCACCCAAGATCAAAAGACCTTAAGGCTAAAGCAGGTGCTGAATTTCTTGTTCTTTTATGTATATGTTTTTATAACACAAGTAACTAAAATGTAAAAATTATAAGTTGCTTTTCACATGCGAGATAGGGCTCAAAGTATACTGAAACCATAACATTAAATGAACTTTTTAGTAGAATTACTTTATTCAAGATTCTGATTTCTTATGTACAAAATAATTGTAATGTTTACTAAAATCTTGCCAAATGTCAAGAAGACATGTAGTAAAATCAGAATTATAGTAAACATTACCACGTATAATTTCACAAATATGTGGTCAATTGGGTTAAGCAACAAGTTCATTTTAACTTTAATGCTTTAAGCCAAGTTATTAGCATGTTATGAATTGATATTTTATCACAAGAATTATAGATTTTAATTATTCCCTGTAATTTTTCTCATCTATTCTCTGAATGTTTTATTACAGAACATCTACTCATACATAGAAATCATAATTTACAGAATGTATCCAAAAGTTAACCTTAATAAATCAGCTTCTAGCAAGCTTGAACATAAATACTTAAAAAAAAAAGTTTTACTTAGAGAAATTAGCTCTATACCTTTTTCCACCCAGTTCTAAAGTTATAGGTGTAAGGTGTTTATTGGCAGCATTCCTGATAATCTTTCCTACAGATGGACAGCCAGTGTAAAAAATGTAGTCATACTGTTCTTTCAAAAGTTCAGTTGTTTCTGGTACCCCACCATTAATTAGAGCATAGCTGTTCTGTATAAAATAACTAGCATTACAGCACTAAACTAGTAAATTTTATTTTCTTTGTAACTTAATATTTATTGTATATGCAACATCAAAAACTTTTCTAAGATATACAGTTTTTAAATGGTTACCATTTCACTAGCATGAAACATGTGGAGTTAACTATAAGTAGCAACTGAATGAAATATGAAGCATTAACCTTCACACATGATTCAACCTGCAGAGCTAACTATAAATAGCAACTAAATGAAGCATTAACCTTCACACATGATTCAACCTGCAGAGCTAACTATAAATAGAGCAACTAAATGAAGCATTAACCTTCACACACATGATTCAACCTGCAGAGCTAACTATAAATAGCAACTAAATGAAGCATTAACCTTCACACATGATTCAACCTGCAGAGCTAACTATAAATAGCAACTAAATGAAGCATTAACCTTCACACATGATTCAACCTGCAGAGCTAACTATAAATAGCAACTAAATGAAGCATTAACCTTCACACAAGAATTAATCATTACACATGATTCAACCAGAAACATAATCAGTCTATGAATTTAACTATCTGTTTTCAGTTTACCTACCGTACAAAGTAACTGAATAGGAATCATTCAAAACATATTGTAATATCTTGATAATTGTCAAATATAACTGCAGTATAAACTATCCATTTCTAAGATTATAAAAATAACTGTAATCACCGTATTAAGGTTTTTGTGTCAATAAAGCTACATCTTTCATACCACAACTTATGACAATATTTCCAGAGATATATTGAATAAGATTCCCTCTATAATTCACTTTCATTCACAGAATCTACCTTTTTTTTTTAACTAATGGTTAACTAAGTGAAATTACATTAGCAACTTACTGGTTGAAAGATATTATAATAAACACTGTTCCCCACCCCTTGAACACACAGTAATAAAACTGTCTACCTGATCAAGGTAGAGAGGTAAGAGATCTTCCAAAACTCTTGCTGTTGCTGGGGATAATTCTGAAGGTTTTATAACTGCAACATTTCCAGCAGCAATGGCTCCAACCAGAGGGCTGAGAGTTAACTGCAGTGGATAATTCCATGCTCCTATGATTAAAACCAATCCAAACGGTTCCCGGTGGATAAATGTGGAGTCAAACATCAGAACAACATGCTTCGAAGTCTAAACAAAATCAAAATGTTTAAATTTTTGACTTGTGTAATGCTGCCTAGAGTATAATGCACATAATCATGAATAAATGAAATGACTGTGGACTCCAGAAAACCTTTCAAAGTTTGTTGTTTTTTTTTATTTGCACAATATTTTGTCTTTAAACCTTCATTTCTTCAAAATAAAAATAACAAGTTCTTTATAAAAAAAAATAATAATAATTGTTAATGGTTAAGCACTTGCATTATATTTATAACTTTACACTTAATTGTTTAAATATTTAATGCATATCTCCTTAGCCTGATTAATTCATACATAGAACCAATATAAGTCCATCTCCTTAGCTGGATTAATTCATACATAGAACCAATATAAGCCCATCTCCTTAGCTGGATTAATTCGTACATAGAACCAATATAAGCCCATCTCCTTAGCTGGATTAATTTGTACAAACAACCAATACAAGCCCATCTCCTTAGCTGGATTAATTTGTACAAACAACCAATACAAGCCCATCTCCTTAGCTGGATTAATTTGTCCATAGAACCAATATAAGCCCATCTCCTTAGATGGATTAATTTGTACATAGAACCAATATAAGCAAATCTCCTTAGATGGATTAATTCATACATAGAACCAATATAAGCAAATCTCCTTAGATGGATTAATTCGTACATAGAATAAATATAAGCACTTTTCCTAGTAAAGATAAAAGTTCCAAATGAAGAAGCAATAAGGCGATCTGTTAAATTGAAGAAATATGCCTATTATAAAATTATAATAAAATGCTGATGTGTACGTATGTGCCAGTCACATTAGGGTGGTTTTGATACTTCATTGTTATGCAAGTATTACTAGTTTAATTCCATTTTTGATTTTATTCATTCTTTTTAGGCCTTCATTATTTGCTGTTGCTATTGTGCTGCAAAATTTATCTTTATTCATAGGAGTGGTTTAATCAGACACTTGTATTTGAAAGCAGTAACAAACAGCTTAATTTCATTAAGAACCAGTGTCGTTAGGCTAAGCATCATCTAGAGAGAACTGATACTATATTACCTGAGTAATGAAGTATGGTTACTTCATCACACTACTTAAGTAACCGTTCTGGGATTTTCTATTACTTAAGTACTCTAAAAAATATTTTACTTTTTACTTAAGTAAAATCAAGAAGAAATTATCTACTTTTACTCCAATACATTTCTTTTATAAGACTTTTGTTACATTTGAAAAAATTGGAGAAAGATCAGACTGATTGCCATGGTGATAGAGCATGCCTACTCTTTCATATAAGACAATCACAAGCAGTGGTGTTTCCTGTGCTGCTGAACAGGAACAAAATGCAACCATTTTACATCTAGTGTTGACTGTGATAACTTTGTCCCATGGTGACCATCATGTCTGACACAGATAATCACTCATGGCCTTATTTGGAAGACTTATTTTCACTGAAAACAGTAGTGGGAAATTTGGTGAAGTTACAGCATATGAGCAATTGTTTAGTTCTGCACGGCTCTTGTTCACACGGAGATGAGCTAATCTGTCTAGTAGGAACTTTAACAATCAGCTGCTGCTGAAGCTAAATAATAACTGGAGTGTGTGAGGAGCTGTACCATAGACAGTAATACTGATTGATTTAATAAAACTAAATTAAAGTTTGTTAAGTATATATTTGATGGTGCCTTTTACAAAGTAAAAAGTACCAAATATATACAGTACTTAAGTAGCAATAAAATCAAAAGTATTGATAAAAATAAGTAATGATAGCATTATTAAAAATAGCATACATTCAACTTAAATTCACGAAGGTAGTTTTACTTTTTACTTGAGTGAATATTTTCTAAAGTAACAGTACTGTTAGTCAAGTAAATATTTTCAGTACTTTACCCATCACTGTATATTACAAAATCTAGTTACTCACATATTCTGGACTTGCCCATTTCTCCAAATTTATTAGCATACCTCTAATGTCATTTCGTATGAACTCAATTTCACAAACCACAGATTCAAATTTGGGCTAAAAAGAAAAGTAACATTAAAAATGTGTATAAGACTATGCTGTAATGAAAAACAATCCACTTCAATAAATGCTAAAGTTATAGAAAACATCAATAAATGCTTGGTAATTCAGCTTTACAGTCCAAACTGTTATTGATGTATTTTATAATGAACTCTATCATCTATAACTTACTGTAGCTCATAGTAATTCTACCACATTATTTCTAACAGTAAAATATCAGAAAACCATTGAATGAGTTACCTTCTTAAGAATTCTTATCTGATAGTTTAGATAAAAATATTTTAAACAATTTTAATCTCTTTTTCTCAACAAAAATAAAAAACTTAATTACAGCGAAATAAGTGTTCATTATTTTTATTTCAAAATATAATTAATAATATAACCAGAAAATTGTGAATATCTCAGTGGAAAAAATTATCATAATGAGAAAAACAATATAACTTTATTACATCTCACTAAAGTATACACGTCTATAAAAAGCTATCAACCACTAAGAAACAACACAATGTTTAGTAACATAGAACCATTTAGAGAAAGCTATTAACCACTATGAAACAACACAATGTTTAGTAACATAGAAACATTTAGAGAAAGCTATTAACCACTATGAAACAACACAATGTTTAGTAACATAGAAACATTTAGAGAAAGCTATTAACCACTAAGAAATAACACAATGTTTAGTAACATGGAAACATTAGAGAAAGCTATTAACCACTATGAAACAACACAATGTTTAGTAACATAGAAACATTTAGAGAAAGCTATTAACCACTATGAAACAACACAATGTTTGGTAACATAGAAACATTTCGAGAAAGCTATTAACCACTAAGAAATAACACAATGTTTAGTAACATGGAAACATTAGAGAAAGCTATTAACCACTAAGAAACAACACAATGTTTAGTAACATGGAAACATTTAGAGAAAGCTATTAACCACTATGAAATAACACAATGTTTAGTAACATGGAAACATTTAAAGAAAGCTATTAACCACTATGAAATAACAGAATACTTAGTAATACAGAAACATTTAGAAAAAGCTACTAAATGATGAAGGACATACCAAATTTTTTTATAGCAATCTAAAACAAGACAATTTTTACCAAACAGCAACATAAAAGCAGAAGGTGCAGTTTGAACAGTTTAAAATTGTCTTACTAGACAGTTGCTAATATGTTAACCCTTTAACTTAGCTGATAGAACACTCCTGGCATTTGAGAGGTCTCTAATTGAAATCCAAACCATGGAAATACAAAAAAAAATAAATTACCAGTGGGATATTATTTTTGTACAGCACGTGTTTTATTATACAACTAAACACTGTATTTGTTTGCTTTTACCTTATTGAGATCTTCTTTCATTGCTCTTACTAGAACTTCTTCATTGTCCTTACACAATCGATACAAAGCTTTTAACTGTTGTTTTCTGTATTCTAGAGACTTTGTGATGCCATGCTTAAATGTTGTTCGTAGTTTATTAATAACCTAAAATTAAAAATGAAGGAAATAACTTTGACTTTTGGTTGTTTTTTAAAAAACTTAATTATTGTGACAATGAACATAAAATCAAACTGATATATAAATTTTATATAATTTGTTTAATACTTAAAACATCCTACAGATGGAGCTTTACTTATGAATGACATGTATTGTCTAGTTATCTGTCTCTTAGACTCCTGCTTTATGTATACATGTGTTTAACCTTGGACTTTTAACTACAGACAGTTAGAAGTCCAAAGTTAAACACAAATATATACTTAAAAGAGAATAAATCTTATTTATTTTCCATTGACATTTTATGTAATTTTTCTTGTTTGATCACTTAAAATATGTATACAAAAGTAAAAAAATAAGAAGATAAATTATGGAAGTTAAAACATAGGTAAACATGCATTTTTTTTCAAAAATTTGAAAAATTAAATTATTTTAAACACAATACTATCTTTAGAACGACAAAATATATTTTAGAACAAGAAAAAAATTTTAAAAATCATTGAGACTAAATATCCAAGTATTTATGTTATATGGTGTGTAAATTTGAAGAAACCTAGAAACATACCTCTGCATATTTAGATGCCATATTTTGTTTAGGGAAAATCTCCACAGATGCACTTTCTCTCCTTCTTGAGATAGTATGTGGAACAAAAAATATATTTCAAACCAAGAAAAATAATTTCAAGAAACAGTTAAGTTAGTGAGAATAATATTAAGTATCTAAGTGTTTATGTTTCTTTTTGGTTAAATTTTGTCTTTAGTTCATCTCGCACAGAATGATCAAAGCTCACATTCTATTATTTTCTTTACATTTTCATAAAACTACATACCTCATCTGTTATGTCAAATGTTTCAAAGAAAACTGTTATTCTAATCATACCCTACATGGCCACTAGTTCATGAGCTATATCCACAAGTTCAGTTAAATTGGGTCTTTAAAATAAAGTCTAGGTTAAAACACTTTCAAACAAACAACATCCACTGAATACCTTGCTAATAGTATACGAGTTCATGCATCCGAGGTGCAACCAGGGATATGCTGGATCAACTATTGGAAAATTGTGCAGTCAATTAAAACAACACTAACACTAAAATCTACAACACCAGTAGTATTACCAGTCCATCTAAACAAATATGATGTTGTGTCTGACTCAAGTTTCTTCTGCATCATTCTTCATTCCCGGGAGGAGTTACACTTTAGACTGTTAGAATCTCTTACCATTAAGCTAAGATTGTTTATTTGTAATTAAGCACAAAACTACACAATGGGCTATCTGTGCTCTGCCCACCACGGGTATCAAAATCCAGATTCTAGCATTGTAAGTCCGCAGACATACCGCTGTGCCACTGGGAGGCATTAAGCTAAGAAAACAAGCTTTGAACCAGAATTTGAGCACAGAGCCCCAACATCTTTCGTTGTGAAAATGTAAAGAAAAACAAATGAACACGATCTTCGATCATTGTTTAAATTTAAAGAAACCTACCTCGTCATATTTGGATGTAATATCTTCTTTGAGGAAGAATTCCACAAATACACTTTATCTCCTTCTTAAGAAAAAATTTTTTTCTTACAGAAAACAATGAGAATTAATAATATTGAATTATCAAAATGCACCTAAAACAAGGATTAAAACACTTAAACTCCATAATTACAGGAACAGTGTATAGTGTAACAAGCAAGGAAACTTCCACAAGTACACTGGCAATGTATAATGTAAAAAACAAGGAAACTTCCATAAGTACAGGAGCAGTGTGTAGTATAACAAGCAAGAAAACTTTTGTAAGTACTGAAGCAGTGTATAGTGTAATAAACAAAGAAACTTCCCTAATTACCAGAGCAGTGTGTAGTATAACAAGCAAGAAAACTTTTGTAAGTACTGAAGCAGTGTATAGTGTAATAAACAAAGAAACTTCCCTAATTACCAGAGCAGTGTATATGGTAACAAACAAGGAGACTTCCATAATTTCAGAAACAGTGTAACAAGCAAGGAGAGTTCCATAATTACAGGAACAGTGTAACAAACAAGAGTTCCATAATTACAGAAGCAGTGCATTGAGTAACAAAGAAGGAAACTTCCATAAGTACACTAGCAGTGTATAGTGTAACAAGCAAGGAAACTTCCATAAGTACACTAGCGGTGTATAGTGTAACAAGCAAGGAAACTTATATATCTACAGGAGCAGTGTATAGTGTAACAAGCATGGAAACTTTTGTAAGTACAGAAAGAGTGTAATAAACAAGGAACTTTCCATATGTACAGGAGCAGTGTATAATTACTTTTATAGCTACACGAAATGAGACCATGTACCAAAAACAAAACAATAATACTATTACTGTTAGCAATATTAAAATACTAATGCTAGTAATACTAATAGCATAATATTAATAGTACTGAGTGCAGCACCACAGCCGAATATTTATCGAACAACAAATATTATCATCACTTGAAATATTTCGCTTTGCCAACTGTCGCGAGCACACTTATTCAATTGAGAAGATATTTTTCTTAAATTACTGAATAAAATATCATAGTATTCTACACTACTATAGAAGATCAGATATATCTTACCCTCCTACCACTGCTTTAGCTTCTATAATCTACTACCACACTAGTAAAGTGGTGTTAATTACGAAGATTTCAAGTTACTTACGAGGCACAGTGACATCTTGTGACAATGTTAGAAACTTATCAAACAGTAAAGATTTGGAAAGTTACGGTTTAAACGCCGAAAGCTGGCGAAATATTAGAAAATCAATAGGCCTAATAATCGTTACAAAAAAAAAGAATATGTAGTTAACATACTCTTATTAAATTTTGATAGTTACGCTACCCCTTCTACTTTTTGTTTTCATTTTTTGGCGGTAATTATACAGTGGGCATATGCTCGAGCCTGAGGATTGTTGTTGCTGGAGTACAGGTTATATTCACTTATATGCCTAACTTCACAAATAACGTTTCGACAGAAATTCCGAGACTAATGGTACTGCTCTAAGCTCAATTTTTTTTAATATCTAGTTTTGGCCCGGCATGGCCAGGTGGTTAAGGCACTCGACTCGCAATCTGAGGGTCGCGGGTTCGAATCACTATCACACCAAACATGCTCGCCCTTTCAGCCGTGGGGGCGTTATAATGTGACGGTTAATCCCACTATTCGTTGGTAAAAGAGTAGCCCGAGAGTTGGCGGTGGGTGGTGATGACTAGCTGCCTTCCCTCTAGTCTTACACTGTTAAATTAGGGACGGCTGGCGCAGATAGCCCTCGTGTAGCTTTGCGCGAAATTCAAAAACAAACAAAACAAACAAACAACATCTGATTTATATATTTATTTACTAGAGAGCACAGTAAATATCCAAAAGATTCTTGAAAGTTAAGACCTCTGTAAAATTTGAAAATTTAATTCGTGCATTATGTAGTGTTGCATATCTGCTTGTTTGTTAATTTCCGGTATAAATTCTTTCCGAGGAACTTCAGTGATACAAGTCCTTTCTTGGTTAAACCAGTTTATTCTTCCTCGATACAAACTTTTAACACACAGTAATTTCACAATTAGTGCGTTTCTCGTCACTTTTAACTTAACTACTTTAATAATACACGCTATAAATCACAGCGATTGACAATCTCGATAACTTCGCTACAAGCGCAAAACACACACTTTATATTACCGTAACTACTGTTCGCTTCTTTAATTATCTATCTATCGCTGGCTTCTCTGCCAGGCTTATATACTAAAGAAGAGGGTTCGCCGAAATTCGATGAGTTCCCTGATAATTCGAGAAACTTATTCATGCATGCGCTAGCAGCGTCACATGACTTCCGCTGTCGTAACACTGCCTCTTCCTTAGTATTGTTCGTCCCGAACAATAGCCACTTACATTAAACCAATAGATAATTAACAATAACTTAATTAAATGTACAGAATTTACAAATACTAAACTAAAATACAAGAAAGTCTCTTAATTTTACAGGACGTTTCTTCTTTAGTACTGGTCTCGTCTCGTTGGCTTCTGCTTCATGTGAGGTTCATCTGCTCCATCAGGAAATGTCCCATTATCAGTAGCAGTCACATTAGTGGTAGTAACTTCATTAACAGCTTCACTGTTTTCCTTCTCAAAACCGGGTAGAGTTTCTTCTTCAACAGTGGCTTTTTAAGGTGACATGTCATTTGTTCTATTGTTCATTTCGTTCCAACTGAAATGTCCTGGACCGTGATAATGCCAAAGCCTTTTGGCATGCACCACCTTTCGCTTAGCTCGCCGATCATATTTTATTCGGAAAGTCACGTCTGAGAGACGATTTACTATGTCATATGGGCCTTTCCATGAAGAAGACAACTTAGAAGACTTCCCTTTGGTCTTCCTGGGACTATAAAACCACACCTTGTCTCCTGGTACAAAGCTGACTTTAGTAGATCTCTTATCGTAACATAGCTTCATGGAATAAGCAGACGTTTTCAAGTTTGAATGCACTTGATGATGAATATCATCCATTCTTTCCGACAACACTTTCACGAACTCTGACACATTTTTAGGCAACTGTTCGTAAGGTGAACATCCTGTTATCAAGTCCACTGGCAACCGAAGTTCCCGACCAAACATCAGCTTTGCTGGAGTGTATTCAGTGACTTCATGCTCTGCTGTTATATAGGCCATCAACAGTGGAGGGAGTAAGACATCCCAGTCATCTTGGCAGCTATTACAAAATATTGCCAATTCCTGTCCCAGTGTCCAGTTGTACTTTTCTACCATCCCACCAGACTGTGGGTGAAGTGGCGTTGTCTTGGTCTTTCGTATGCCAAACAACTTGCAGCATTTATGGAACACAGCTGATTCAAAGTTACGGCCTTGATCCGAAGACATACCAAACCTGAAGAAGAAATCACTGAAGCTAAAGTTGTAACTTTCTGATTTAGTATTGCATATGCCTCAGGCCACTTGGTGAAATAATCCATCACCACACAAGTGTACTTGTTTCCAACACGAGATTGGGGCAAAGAACCAGCAATGTCAATGGCTATTCTTTTCATTGCTGCACTAACTTGATATAACTGCATTGGAGCACGTCCCTTATGCTTGCGTCCCTTTTTAGCACAACATGTATTGCAGGTCCTGCACCATTCTTCCATATCTTGCCCCATACCTATCCAGTAAAATCTCTGTCGTAGGTGACTCAATGTCTTCTTAACTCCGAGATGTCCTCCTGTTACAGTATCATGGGATTGACGCAGCACAACTTTCCGTAACTTTCTCGGTATAACTGTTTGCCAGGTCGTCACTTTTCCATCTGCAGTTTCCCATCTTCAGACAAGAATACCATCTTCAAGCTTCAACTGGTTCCATTGTGCACAATAGTTCTTTGTCACAGGGCTTAAGCTAGACACCTTCTCCCTAGCAGGGAGCAAAACACTTGCTCGTGGAAAATCAATTATTTACTTCAAATCTTGGTCTTTCTCATGCTCTGCTTTAATATCTATACTTGGTTCAACTTCACCATCATCAACTCCTTCGGTCACTTTGACTTCAGCTTGATGGCACCTGGTTAGTTCAACCTCTCTTTTAACACTTACCGGAATTTGGCCTTTGTTGTTCCCAAACGTCATTTTATCTAATTTAACTACACATTTCCTCGGTAGTAAGTAGTCCAACCCTAATATGCATGGGTCTTCAATGTCAACCAAGTATACTTTGTGTCTGTCCTTTATGCCCATGAGCTCAATAGTTACCCACACTGGTCCTCACAACCTTGTATAATATCCTGTCACACCACAGAGCTTCTGTATGGCTTCTGGTACTCCTTTGTGATCTAGCACTTTGATACTCACAAGGGTTTGCTGAGATGCAGAATCTATGACAAAGTTGCACTTTTGGCCATCCAGCTTTTCTGTCACATTTCCGGTATAAATTCTTTCCGAGGAACTTCAACGATACAAGTCCCGTCTTTGTTATATCAGTTTATTCTTCCTCGATACAAACTTTTAACACACAGTAATTTCACAATCAGTACGTTTCTCGTCACTTTAAACTTAACTACTTTAATAATACACGCTATAAATCACAGTGATTGACAATCTCGATAACTTCGCTGCAAGTGCAAAACACACACATTATATTATCGTAACTACTGTTCGTTTCTTTAATTGTCTATCTATCGCTGGTTTCTCTGCCAGGCTTATATACCAAAGAAGAGGGTTCGCGAAAATTCGAGGAGTTCCCTGATAATTCGAGAAACTCATTCACGCATGCCCTAGCACCGTCACGTGACTTCCGCTGTCGTAACAGTAGGAATAAGGGCATAATATTTGTACCATGCTTAGTTAAACAGTGACTTAATGAATGATTTACTTCAGTATCAGTAGTGAGAGTTATTGTGTCAATTAAGCTTCTCAGTGAGTTAATTAAGTAGTGTGTTTGTTATCGATCGATTAATGAGAAACTTCCATTGAAATGTTTATAAGTGAGTTAATAGAACATCAATACCGCAGTTATATTGCTAACACCTAAATTAAAACATTGAAAATATAGCTTACAACAGCACCGTCAGTTTATAATTTCTGTTGAAATTATATATTTCAAATTAGGCTTACATTAGTGTCGGAGTTTATGTTGAAACATTTATTTATGAATATAGGCTTTCAGGTAATACGGCTGTAGAAAAAGTTTATTGAAGACGTGGCTTAATTCATTACCTTTAGGTGGCCTGGACTTGGCATTATTTTTACCATATAATTCAGAATAACCTGCTCACCAATAGAACACTTTGCAACAGCAGCGATACTAGTGTTATGTGTTTAGTTTTAGTGATACCCGCGAGAATTATTTTTATACCTCTTTTTTGTGTTTGGCGTACATTTTGACCTTTTTTTTTAGTAAATTTTGTATCTCATATTGTAGGCATGGCCTGGTAGTCAGAGCATTCGACTAGCAATCTACGAGATGGAAGATCGAAACCCAGTGACAATATGCTTGCCCTTTCAGTCTTGTAGGTATTGTTATGTATCTGAGGAACTTTAGCAATACAAGTCCTTTCTTGATTAAACCAGTT